AAACAAAACGATCACAAAATAAACATTAAAAAAAGGAGACAGTAAAGCAGATAAAGTGCAGACGTGTTTGAAGCCTTAAAAACAGAAAAACTGTCCCAAATATCACACACAACAAAAAGCCAACATTACATTTAAGTGTAAAGATTTTCTGCTTTTCTTCTCTTTTAACCACATTTATCACCAAATCCTTCTATTTGGAGAAAACCTACCCGCTGCAAATAAAGTAGTTCAAACCAGCTCCGACCTGATCGGCTGATAAAATGCTGCAGTCGTAGTAACGGCCTTCTAATGACTCATCAGTCACATGGGACGATTCCCACAGAACTGCTCTTAGTCACACTGATTTACATGCAGCGTAATGTGCTGATTAAAAAAACAAAAACCAGGACTACTTCTCCTCATGTTGTTGTGTTCGATGAAGCCTTGAGCTGCTCCATCGTTCAAATCAGATGTTTAAAATCTGTAAAGAAAACCAGAACGAGCTGGAAATAAGTCGATTAATAGTCGCTTGTTTGATGCATCCTCCACTTCCCACAACATCCTTTAATCACGCTGAGTAATAAAAGTTTAACGTAAGCGATTGTAAAACACACACTCCTACTGTACGGCATCCACACAGCTCTCTGTGAATAAAACAAACAGACCCACACAGACGGCGTTTTCTTATTGCAATATCCATTTATTGTTCTCATCACACAAATCTTTACAAAACAGAGGGTTGTTTTTTTCTTTTTTTTTGCTGCAACAGGATCAAAGGAAACGTGGTCGTCCCTCAGAGTTGCAGATCTGAAGGAAACCGGTGCTTTTTTTATATTTTTTATTCACACGTCAGTCAACCGCGGCTGTTTGTTCTTTGATTTCGAAACACGACTTACTAAAGACTTTACAGCAGAAGTAAAAGCTGTCGGTGTCGAACCAGAGGAGGATCTGCATCTTCCACTTCTTTTCTTTTTTTTTTAAACTCCTTTTGCGTTTCTTGTGCTGACGCGGCGCTCACACGGTGAACGCCCGTCCAGATGCTGACTGCGTGGAGAGCTCGTGCTTGCAATTAGCATCACAGGCTGCCACTTTTTTTTTCTTTTTGTAGAATTTTAAATCGTTTTTGTTTCCCCATTAAGATTATTTTAAGGCATTTCTGATTCATTGGGACGTTAATGACTGGAAAGCGATGAGGGGAGACGAAGTCATGCAGCAAAGGTCGGACTCAACTTCTTTCACCGTCTTCTCACAAGCACAAGGCGTCGAATGAATCTGCGATGAAAGAGCCTCACGCCACTGGACGAACATGGAAGTCGTACATATATATGCTCGATGATGGAAACGCACAGGCTTTGGTAGAAATGGTACCACGAACAAAACACTTAGTGGATTTTTAGAAAGTCCCAAAAGAAGATTTCTTTTAAAAATGTTGAGGGGCACAAATTTAAAAAAAATATGATTAAAATTTGTCAGATTTTTTTTGTTGTTGTCCAGCCTACAGACACGTCAGCAAGATGTACGAGTCGATGGAGTGATAACAAAGCTAAGAAACACACGACATGGGGATTAAAGCAGCGCTGTGGGACTTTTTGGAGGGTTGGCGAAGCTTCAGTTGCCGAATCGTTGCCTAGAAAACCAGATCTGTCAACACAAACATTTTTAAATTTCGGGAGCTCAAGCCCTAAAAATAAACCTTAATATTTTGGGACCTCAAAGCCACACAAAGCAGCGGATCAGACGACTAAAGGTGTTTCACTCTCGGCAAGTTCGGTTTGATTGAAACGAACTCCGATGCGGCTGCTCCGTTTGTGTGCAGCTCATTTGAATAAGTGTGAACGCCGCCATCCCGACCTCGGTGCTCTGACAGCGACGCCCCGAACAGATGGATCTTTGTTTCCAAATGAACTCCGGTGCCGTTTACCATGAGACGCCCTAAACGAACCAAAAACTGGTCGGTTTTCTTGTAACAGGAGCTTCGGTGCACATTACTGGAATTAGAATTGCAGCAAATCCTGCAGTGAATGAATTCCTGCCACTGTTTTGAGTTAAAATACCACCATGTATATAAAAACCCACATTGTTTTGGACGTTTGGTCAGTTCTGTCGCAACATCCAATCCAATCTGATCCTTAAGTGTTTACAAAACAGGACTAAGACGTATCATTTCTACTTTGATCTGGACAAACAGAACAACTCTGATGACAAACAACAATCCTAAACCTGCTATCTGACAGGTTTTTAGGAAAAACAAACGAAACCCATAAAAACAGCCTTAACATACCGACAGCCTTGGATTCTGACTCCAACATGACATTTAATGTCACCAATCAGGATGACGGCGTATTATCTGACTGAACAATCCCACAGATTGGCTACGTTCACACTGCAGGACTTGATGCTCAATGAGGATTTCTTTGTGACTTCCTTCACGTTTCCAGTTCAATGCGACTTGTATGTGATCTGCTGTGTGAACTTCATACGACCCAAAAGTGTCCCGCATGCGCAGAAGAGGACACGACGACGTCACACGCAGCGAGCGTGTTCAATGTTTACGGAAGTAAAAACGGATGGTGGCAGCGATGGTGGAAACAGAACTGTAACCACTAACTAAACTAGCATCAGCAGCCAAGTACTGCCTGTGCGTTCTGGACACTTCCACCCCGTCGTGGTGCTCCCCCGGGGTGGAAGTGTCCCCCAACTGCACCGAAGTGCTATTGGGACCAGCCCTACTAGTTTTTATAACAACTATGAACAATAATTAACAACAAATGACCCTTGAAGCATCAAGCCCTCCTTGTATCTGGACCTCCGTCTTGACAATCCGACAGCCTTGATATCCGACATAAAAAAAGGTTTTACATTTAGTGTCGGATTATCGAGTCACGACTACACAATATTTGAGTCATGCTAATTATTATGCTATATACTATTGTAGTGTTTTAACTGCATGATTTAAATGAATGTATGTGATAAATACCACTTTAAGGTCTTAATATTAAATTTGTAACGTCGATCTTTGGTCTCTACTAGAAGCAACAGTTTTAAAGGTGCCGTACAAACACCAGCGTCTTGTTGGATGTAAAGGGAGGCGGCGAACACGTTCAGCAGGATTTTATCTTTTATTTATGACATGATAACGTGTCAGAGATCCGCCGCTCTGAAGTGACTTCTGACAGCTGCTTTAACATCCATGTTGAGATGTTTCTCGTTAGCTCGCCTTATGACGTGTCGGTAGAGTCGACAACAACAAAAAAAAAAGAGGTTCTCCCATCTATTCCTTGTGCTAATATCAGAGTTCAAATCTGAAAAGGCCTCAAGTTCATCAGCGGATGAACACACCTCGTCCCCGTCCGGTGGGCAGATACAGTAGTTTGATACGAAGAGCGAGCCGACTTGCACACATTGTTCTCCATCATCATACAAGATATTTACCCCCCCACCCCACCACCCCCTTCCCCGATCTCTATACCGGTGATGCTTGTGTAAAAATCACACTCTCAAATACAAAAAAAGAGCTATGTACAATATCATACAAACATGTTTCAGTGTTAGAAAGTGGACTCAGGAGGAGGGGGAAGGAATGTACAGCGACACGGAGGGGCAGAAGTGTGATTGTGCATGTGTGTGCTTTGACATACGTGTGCTCTGTAGGTCTTTATTCTTGTGTGTGTTTTTTGTCTGTCTGTGTTTGTGTCGTCCAGCAGAGGGAAACATTTCACAGCACAGTGATGGTAACCAACATCACAGAGGAAACAAAAAGAGCGAAACCGAGGTTGTAAGAAAAAAAATAAAGTGTAGAAGAAGAAAAAGGAACAAAGTGTGCAAAATCAAAAATCAGCAAAACTGTCACGCCACACGTAGCGCTTATGGCAACCACACCGTATATACACGTCAATAAATAAATCTGTCGATAAAATCTCAGAACTTAATCACAATAGTTACACGAGGCGGCCGGTCCTGCAGCAAAAACCAGCTCAGGGCGACGAGCAAAACCAAAAAAAAGTGGGTTGGCATCACAGAGAGTGTTTTGTATGAAGGCTCTTTGTCTCAAAAGAATACAAAAAACTAATATTTGCTCCTGAATGCGATGCGCTTTATTTGGCCACCTGCAGTCGGGAGCTTGGCTTTGTCGTATCCGATGTGTTTGTATTTCACATCAGGTTTTGGCGAAGTTGCAACCATCTGAGAAGGAGGGGAGACAAAAAAAAAACCAAAAAAAAAAACCCACGAAGACGATAGCCAAGTGAAGATGTCTGTACTTTCATCCTGTTTGCTTTTGTCTGGTGCTTCTGCTGAGAGATATGAAACGGATCCTTTGATCTGGGTAAACCTCATGCCGGGCTGACTGGGGCGCTGCTACTCAGACTACAGAGCGTGTGACGGTGTGTGTGTGTGTGTGCACGGGACGAGATAAGGGGAGAGAGGGTGAGAGAGTGTGTGTGTGTATGGCTTGCTAAAAGGAGGGAGGAAAATCTCAGCAGCACACATTTTCCTTCAGCGGGCTTCTTTGGTCCAACATGGCGGCCTCCTGACAGCTCACATGAGAGCCGCGTCCTGGGAGGTTCGGCGTTCGGCTTCTCCTCCGAGCGGGTCGTTCGTACGATTTGGAGGAAGGAAAAAAAGCAGTGGACATTCTCAGTGGTCACAGTTTGACGTGGGGGGGTTCCTTTGCGAGCCGCCGGAGATGGACTTCAGTTTGTACAAAAGAAAAACTAAAACGAGGAGATGTACCTGACTGCACTGAATGTTCAGTTTTGACTTCGCTGGGCGTCCAGCAAAGAGAAAGTCTTGTTTGCCTATCGGTTCCCCGGGGGTTTGAGAGGGCAACAGGGTGTCGTTCGCGCTGCATTGTGGGAGGTCTAGACCTGCGTGGAATAGGAGCGGTGCAGCGTGGCATACCGCCCGGCCGGATGGGCGGCGCAGTGCGGCGAGTGCTGCTCCGGCTGGTCTAGACTTCGCTGGAAATGGAGCGAGACGGTATGAGGACATCGGGGGTGGCGGGGAACCGATAGGGCTGATGGTCATGTGATCTCGGTGAACGGAGATCCCCGCGGAGTCTGCAGGGGAAAGAGAGGAGTGAGAAAGAGAGAGAGAGGAAGGAGGACGGGGCAGAGAGGAGGCGAAGGAGAGAGGAGAGAGAAAAGTGAAGAAAAGAATAATCAAGAGCAATGCACGGGATGAAGGAGAGAGGAGGAAGGAGAGAGAAGATGCGGGAACAGAAATAAGGCGACGGATGGCGGAGGTGACGGTGAAGGAGGGGAAAAAAGAGTCAAAGTCGGTTAGAATGGTTGGACGTAGGCGTTGTAAGGTGGGGAGGAGGAGGAGAGTGCAGGATGCTGGAGGAAGAGTGAGGGACAAGGGGAGCAGATTGAGAGGAGAGACAGAGGAAAAGAGGCAGTCAGGTGAGGGTTAGTGACGGTGACAGACCACAGAGGACGCAAGACATCTTCCTGAACACTTCACCCCTGAGAGAATCGCTTTAGAAAAGGCAGCACTGGTGGAGATAGAACTTAACGGGGGGGACCTTCTGCGGTCGCCACAACCTTTTATTATCACTTTTCTTTTAGCCTCGGCTGAGTTTCCCTCCAGCCGGCTGATTTGCATTCCATCCGAACGGTGAATTACACCTGGAGTGTGTCGGCCAAACTGCTGACTCACCTCGCGGAGATAAGTGACTCTCTAAATCCCCGATAACAAGGAAACGTGGAGCACGGTGGGGGCTTAGGAGTAAGCTAGCGCCTCTTTCCAAAGCAAACACTCGCGCCGGAATTTGTTCCGTCCCGTGGCTGAAATATAATCGCGACTCATTTCACACCACTAGAACAAATCTCACCTGCGTTCTTATCGGCCCGCGACGAGGCCGGCGTGCGTGCGCAGAGATTTAAAGGATTCACTTTGGGTGCGTTTGGTCGGGGATCGGGGGTGCGGGTGGGGCTTGGAGCATGCATGCTTTGAGAGATTTGTTCTTTTTTTTGGGGAGGGGGGGGGAACAAAAAGGAGGATTCAGTTAAGAGACAAGGGGTGTGTATCTGAGCCCTTTGGTGAGCACCAGTCGTGCCTCACACCCACCCCCGCCCCTTACCTGAGGGCCACTTAACTTTTCGAGTGGACTCTCCACACAGGGCAGCGTCACCATCGGCATGCCGAGCACCGACTCCGGGCGCTGGGGTCGCGGTGGGGGAGGACTGGGCTGCAGCTGCTGGAAGTTATTAATCACACAAGTCACCTGGAGACAGAGAGCAGAGGGGAAGAGTCAGACAGACGGCTGGAGGAAGGAGAGGACATTTGTTAAACTCTGCCCCTGACCGAGATCTGCTCATTCATGGCTTAGCGGGGGGAGTTCCTCATGACTAATGTCCCCGCTGATTAAATGGAAGTTAACATTCAGACCAGTCAACTGCACTAAAAGTAACAAGACAGTCAAAATTGAGCTTAATTTAACCAATTATCACTTCCACTGATTAATAACCAAATTGGATTTTATCCCACTGAACCCCAAAACCCACCAGCAGGTTTCAAACGTTACGTCGTCCTTAAAAATTCACCAACATGACACCATTTATCAACTAGAAACTCTAAAAGCATTTCAAAAATCACCAGAATTTTAACTTTCCAGTGGTCCTTGACCCTTTATGATGTGTGGTTTTGTCAGGAAATTTAACCAAGTCTAAGCTTAACAACGTGATATTTCATCCAAATCAGAAATAAATTCATAAAAATACACCGTTTTCACAAGATCCTGTCCAAAAACAAAACTCCTGCCAAACGTTCTGTGACCACTTGGCTGACCTGAAGGAAGTGTTTACACAGAGCAGAGAGGAGACAAGTATGGAAACAAATGACAGAGACTGAAAGCAACAGGAAAGCTTCGTTAAACAATAAAGTGAACAGAACACGGCTCGTACAGACGAGCAAGTTGTTGGAATGTTTTTCTACAGCTGATGTGCAAAGTAATGTGAAAAAGTTTGTAGAAGTTGTAAAACAATGAATAGTTAAATATCAATTTTCTTTTGTTTAGCAGTATTGGTAACGTCTAACCAGCACTGCATTTTTCAAATCTGCTTACAAACTATTTAAAAAAACAAAAACTCAGCGGGCGACATCAAACCAAAGTCCGCCAACAAACAACAGACCTGTTTCACGAGTCATTACGACTATCGAGAGGCGGCGTAAACAGCATATGTGCCATGCCAGAGTGGAAATTTTTACCGGCCATAGCAACAGTAACTAAAGGGGCGTGGCTTAGAAAACGGTCAATTATCCTCCTCCTCTCTCTTCTACTGATGAAGGACACTGCTAAAAGGTTTCAAGGGGCAATCCAGCCACGCAGCATTGGATTACTAAATGGTCAAAAGCACAACAACTGAAATGAAATTGTACTTTTCCTTTTTTTTTTTAGTCTGCTACAGCACATAAATCCACTCCAAATCAAAAAGGAAGGGGATTTACTTGAATCAAATAAAACTTTATTAGAACTAAACTGAAATGAAACAACAACTGAGCGTGTAAGTCAGCAATATCAGCAATGCAAACAGTAAACGGATGCTCTGGATACCATGTGTGGAAGGTGCAAACACAAAATATCAGGTGGAGGGTTTAAGAGAGATCGAAGCTGTGTGGGTTTTGTTTGCGGACGAGAACAGACAGCTGTTGATAGATGGTGGACGCTATGTGGCTGTAATGCTGCTACAGTTATGTGGTGGACATGTTTAATCATCTGTACACACACAAAATAGAAGAACATCTGCACCAAGAACACACCGTAATTGACTTATTGCTCCACAACACCGAAATAAAACTCGAGTGTGCATAACCTTATTTTCATCCTACTTTGGCTGTTCTGCATCCACCTACACAAGCGGGGATCGCAACTGTAACTATGCAATTGTACGCTAATCTTCAATAATTAATCGTCAGTTAATGTCGCCCTTGGAAAGCGGCCTAATGCATAAAAATAATTCCCTCAAGCGGCAGTAGCTCCATTCATGCAAACATTCATAACCTATCGTTAACATATTTACATTTCAGACGGAGCGACTCAAGTCTTGTTCCAGTCGGAGTTTTAATAACTTTTAAAGCTCGAGAAGAGACGTCTGGGGAATATTACGCTCGACGGGAAACTCATAAAGGGAAAGAAAACCGCATTAGTAAGCATCTAACATCAGCGACTAACCTGTTGTGTTAGCAGGACGACTTCATTCAACAGCAGAAGTTATGCGTCTACACTAAGTATATGAGCTTTATCTGTTAAATATACACCTCTTTGCCCTTTCTGCTCCATCTCTTATGGCTTTTCTTGTCTTTGAGGACTATACAAGGCAACTGATGTAATCTACAGCTTTGGCACGCTACATTTAGAAGTGCCTAATGATTTGTCGCTGCACCGTATAATGGATGAAACGGAGGACTCCAACAGCACTGCAAAGTTGCTGATTCACTATATAGTGGAGCAGGGCCAGGAGTGAACATATGGACCAGCTTTCATAGCCTGGAAGGTCCAGGTGGGCTGCATTAGCCGTCGACCTTCAGATGGCGGGTTCGTGGCTGCTCTGATCTCCATTTCTGCAAATCTCACATAAAGCGGTAATGTAGCATAAGGAGAGCAGACGTTCACACTCTTACCGGCGTTAGCGTTCATGCTAAAATCTAAAATCCTTCTCTAAACATTGGCTTGTTAAACGACGCATCGAACACACACGTTCACCTGAGGGAAAAGGTTACTGTTAGCGCGCTAATTAGCCACTTAACTACAGTTGTATAATGGCCCACCGTCATTCTGCTCACCAAGAACACAGCGATGGCTCCTCCGGTGAAGAATCCCGCCAGAACATCGGCCCAGTGGTTGCGGTACTCGGCCACCCGGACCACCCCTACCAGCATGGCCAGGCAGAGCAGGGTGAGGCTGATGGTGGGCTTGGTGAGCCGCGTGCCTTTGGTCTTGAACACCAGCGTCACGTACATCTGCAGGAGGGCACCACAGGAGGGAGCGCACAGTAGGGTACAACAAACACAAGAGGCAGCAATGATGGTGCAAACCTATCTTCTAAAGTCTCAGTACACTAAATAAGGAAGGAACATGTGTGGGGCTCAGATTGTTCATGTGTTGTTGCCCTAATTTGTGATCTTTTAGGATACTTTTACAAATAAAAGACAAAGAGAAAAGTAATACCATAATTTCCGGACTATAAGCGGCTACTTTAGTCACACGCTTTGAACACTGCGGCTTAAACAATGATGCAGGTAATTTATGGATTTTTACGAGTTTCCCTCGAGACGAAAGTGACATTGAGAGTGACAACGAAAGAAAGAATGCATGACGAAGTAATTCTGAGGTTGTTCAATTCTGACACTGAAGACTTTAGTCGTTGTAGTGCGCAGGAGGAAGATGAAGATGGCGGTCGATGACTTTCCCTGGTAGGCTACTGTGTTTTTTATTTTCTTAACCAGCTGTGTTACAGGCTGTGTTTGGAAAAAACCATTTACGATATTTGTGTATGCTAACAGTATGTATTTAATTAGAAGTCTAAAAAATCTTTCTGTGTAAACATCTCATGGTCAAGTTCGTGGGTGCGGCTTATACTCAGGTGTGCTCAATAGTCCGAACATTACGGTACTTCAGCTTCTACTAGCACAGATGTGTACAGAAGCGCCTCCAACCTACCACTGTGTACACTGCGGAGTAGACGCTGAGCGCTGCATCCTTCGACGGGAAGGACTTCCGTGCAGACATGACGATCAGCGGGTTGCCCGTGCAGGCGCGGCGCTCCGTGATGTACTGCATGGTGGACTGGCAGCCTAACGCTGTGTAGTTTGGTCGGCAGGCGGACAGGAAGTGAGGCGTCTGGTTTCCCGTCACCACCTGACCGGCGTTGGCGAAAATGGTGGTGGTGAACAGGCCGAAGGCATAGACACCTGAGTGGAGAAGTGGTGTATTGTATATTTCACAGAAAAGAGAAAAACAGAAAAATACATTAGACGTTTGACTGAAACTCTTATCAAAGCACCGAAACTGCACCTTGAGATAAATCGGGTGATAATAAGTTTATTCTCCCTAAGATAGCCCCCAACACATTATTATCAGCCGAGGTGTGAAATTGCACCAGAAGCCTTCACCTCATCCGATTCAGCTCAAGATGCAAATTTTTAAGCTGCTTAATATTCATGAGAGTCTTCCTGCCAGGATCCTGAATGTTGTACCTCAAAGATTATTCCACATTTTATCATCCAATTAACAGCTGCCTGTACAAGATGCGGCTGACAAACCGAGGTGGAGCGGGTCGCGTTCTTACATTTCAACCTTTTCTTTCAAGATGTTTTGATCTGTTCCCTGTTGTCGCTCGGTCTCGCTGATAAAATCACGTGCACAGACACTAAAGTGCCATTTAAACGGCCCGAGGAGCAGAGGGGCCGTGCGCTACCCAAACAGAGTGCTCACCGAGGAAGCGAATGATGCGCCTCAGGAGGGGGTTGAAGTAGCAGCAGTCTGCAGTGACTATGGTCTTCTCTTGGGTTCCCTCTGCCTTGGTGAAGAAGGCACACAGCTCTCCAATAAGAATCTGCGGAAACAAAGAAAACAGAAAGCTGACGGTTAACTAAAGTGCACTGTTAGTGTCATTATTTACATTTGCATCCGTCTTACTTTATCGTATTGTACGACTAACTGTATTGAGGTGGCCACATTCCTGCAACAACACTCACACAGAGGTCAAAGATCATGATTCTATACAACATGACATTCAGTGTTTTCATTAATGACACTCCATACCACAATGATAAAACTTTTGTGATATCTTGCTTTCATTCAAGCATCAGCACTGGGTCAGTCTATCTTGGTTTTTAACTGAGCATACTTTGTTGTATCAATGTACATTAACACCACCTGCCTAATGGTGTGTCTTTTCTGTGCTGCCAAAACAGGCTCGGACTCTACAGAAAGTGTCCTGTGGTGTCAGACGCCAAGACGCTAGCTTTAACCTCTAGGAAGGTGCGAGGTGGGGCCTCCTTGGATCACATTTGTTCTTCCAACACACCCATTTTGTGGACTCTCACCTCCTGGGTCAGCCTTCGTAACCAACCGACCCTTGGCTGCCCATGAATCTGTGTAGGTTGTTCTTCCATGGACCACTTTAAGTAGGTGCTAACCACTGCATACCAGGAACATGAACAAGATCTGCTGTTTTGTAGAGATCTTTACTCTAGCGGCAGGTGGCGAGCAAATACTCGGATCTCAAAGTTGCTATCTGGACACCACTACAACGAATATTCTGATATTTAGCCCTACTGTGTCGGTCGATGCACTACACTCGCCCTCCTCCTCGGTCGCCACCTTCTCGCTCCATGTGCATTAGACCAGATGAAAACAACGACACTGCACAAAATCATTTACTGATTTGACACCTCGAGTTTGGAATTTGGCTGTTACGATCTTACTATGTTGAAACTAGACGTGTTGAGAGAGTGGTGGAATCTGACGTAGTGACCATTGTACATGGTAGTGACCATTCAATTATAAGATAGCCTTGCTTTAAATACACCCGTCTTTATCTTTCATTTTCCTCTAAATGGAATCATAATTCACAAAACTAACATCATGCTGCTGTGAACGAGAAGCATTTGAGACCATAAACTCTTTGGGAAAATATTCATTAAGGTAACAAAGCAAGCGAGAAGTAGGATCAGCTTCTCACTGACTTCTGTCCAATCAAATAACCAGAAGTGTTGCCCCCCTGCTGGCTGTAATTAAAACTGCAGACCTGAGGCGTTCCCTTTTGGCTTCCCTTTTTAAACACTGAAGGCTACATAAATCTTTTATTTGCAGTCAATGCTTTCAATTTAACAGATCATAAACTACCAACTCCGGGGGGACTCGCAAGTGAAAGACAATAAACTCAGTGTTTATTTATCTTCAAAGTCACACACATTACACATCTTAATCATCATCTTTTTAAACTGAGCGTGGGTCTGCAGCAGCGGTCAGATGGAGACTCAGAACAGTGTGGAAGTTCCTCTGATCAAAAAATAGCAGCCGTCGTTGCTGAGTGCTCACAGTTTTATTGCTTTGTTTGTGAAGAGCACCAGGCTTGCGGCAGACACTTTAGTCAGGTGACTGTGTTCTCTGAACAGCGGTGCCTCTCCAGACTGATGATCCCTTAATGGGCTGCAACTGTGAGCTTCATCTGTGTGAGAGCCTGCACTCAAAGACGCAAGTACACACTAACACCAACTCTCTCAACGAACAAGTATCCGTGAAAGAGGTGTGCTTCATCTTAAATCATCCATCTGCATGCCTCGATGTGGCGGTAGTAATTCCCACTTTAACACTGACCTGTTCCACAGACCCATAAACCTCATTCTCCCCTCTTTCCATACTTAACATAATTCCACATTTATGCACCGCGGTGGCGTTTGAGGAGAGACAGCAGGAGCTAATGAAAGAGCTGCCGACACAGGCAGAGAGACAGATGTGAGACGAGGAGAACAACCGTGTTCCAGCCGAGGTCTCGCACTTCTGCATTTCAGTACAGCCGAGCCGACGGAGTTAGCAGCAAGCGAGGGGCCCAGCGACGTGCATGCCCACCCCAGTGGTTCCTTCCATTAGAGGAACCCAGCCCCACTGGGCGTTCCATGGCAACCCACTAAACACACTAACGCGAGCACGAAACCAAAGCAGAGGGGGATTAATCAGGAGCATCGAATCAGAGATATTAGGGGTACCGTCACACTGTGGACAAGCATTTAGGGGGCAATTAAAACACAGCATAATGGCGGTCTCCATGGGGACCGCTGGTTTGAGCCTGTGCACGGAAGAAAATGCGAGATGAGAGCGCGCCGTCACTCATGGACGAGTGCTCTTGAATGCTTTACCTTGGGCGAAGCGGTACAGGAGTGGGAGGAAGGGTTTTCTTTGGAGGTATACAGTGCTGGACCCCCGTGGGCCCTTTTCGTCTGATACTGTTATTCATAGCAAATGCTTAATCTGCACATCTGATGCTTTACGTAGTCAGTTATAAAGTGCCCACACCTTTAAAAACTCAACACTACCAACCTCTCCAGCTTTACAGTTTCAGGCAGAAAAGTCTTCCACCATAATCCATAATCCACCTTAATATTCTTAAAATGCACCCTTTGTGTTTTTACGGTGTAACTGGTGGTTTGGGGTTTCTTGCGGTGATTATTTGGGGACTCCTGTGGCTGTCTGGCAACTACTCCTGTCCAAACTAGATAATATTACAATTTAATTATGTATGGATTTAACAAAACTGTCATTTTAGGAAGCGAGTGTTCGAGCTACTGGTGGGCAGATTTGGTTACTTTTGGATAACAACAATAACATATTTTATTTGTACAGCGTTTTTCAAGAACTCAAAGACGCTTTACAGGATAAAAGAACAATAAAAGCAACTAATAGTAGAAAAGTAGATGAAGCAAAAATACAAGCGAGCAGGTAAAAACAACACAAAAAATATCAATATGAAAGTTTGAAAAGCAGAGCGAAACAGGTGAGTTTTTAGTTTGGATTTGAAAATGACTGGGTCTGTGGTATCACGGATGTGTCGATGTGGGAGTGAGTTCCAGAGGGCGGGGCCAGCGACAGAGAAGGTCCCCCAGGTTTGGTGCTCGGTCCTGGGAACCATCAAGAGGTTGGCATTAGCGGAGCGGTGAGTACAGGAAGGGGTGTAGGGGTGGAGCTAGGATAGAACCATCCATCCATTATTATCCTCACTGGGGTCCTGGGGGGCTGGAGTCTATCCCAGCTGACTCAGGGTGAAGGCAGGTTCACCTGGACAGGTCACCAGTCTATCACAGGGCTACACTTGGAGACAGACAACCAAGCACACTCACATTCACACCTACGGACAATTTACAATCACCAATTAACCTCAACATGTTTCTGGACCTTGTTGGAGGAAGCCGGAGAACCCGGAGAGAACCCACGCTGCACGGGGAGAACATGGAGACTCCACACAGAAAGATCCCGGGTGTCCTCACCGGGACGTGAACCGGCGACCTTCTTGCTGCGAGGCGACAACACTAACCACCGATCCATCTTGCAGCCCAAGCATAGAACCAGAGTTGTTGTTTTAGCTCTGAATGGGACACAAAGATTTAAAACTGCCAAATCTATTCAACTGGATATAATAATCATGATAAATAAGGGCATTTGTGAGGTTAAATAGTGCAAATAAAGTTTGTTAAAAAGTGCACATGGGGTGAAGTGTCCCAGACTGCAAATGTAAAGAACACATCTTAACAGAACTTTGTTAGTTTGTGTTGAATCACAGCTAATGATTACAGACCTTCCTCATTTGTGTTGAAGCAAAAAAACTGGCTCGGTTTGTCTTTTTCTTTAACTGCGTATACCTTCTGATAGTCCTCGTGTATTTCAAGGTTTCACTAATTGGTGGTTTTACAGAATTTCCTGACCCACTCATTCGTGCAGGTATCTGGCAGCGAACACCTGCAGACGCCCGACGCAACCTCACGGCTCCACCGTCCGCCTCGCTTTTGAAACCAAATTAAAGCGGAGAGCAGGCGAAAGAGTGGCAGCGAGTTGAAGAGCGAGGGGAGAAGAAAGGAAAGTCTGCTGAAGGTAGGAACGTAATGGGGTTAGGGGTAGTACTGCAGGAATGAATTATTCATGCGTGGATGGCATCCATGTGAATCATGTAGCGCATTATTTCAACCAACATTTCTAAATTATCTCTTCTTCCACTGCAGCGGGATGCACTCTGCCCCGACTTCTCCTTCAAGGATTCACAGCTGAGGATGACGAGGCTGTCACTGCAGTTTAGAGACAATGGGATTATAATTCCTTGAAATTAAACAGCTCATCAAGTCTGAATAAAGTGATGCGTCAGGGAACGTGTCACTCGGGGACACGTGACCCACAAAAAACCCCACGAGACTTTATGTATTACATGCGTAGCCACATGCATTATTTAGACGCAGAACAAGAGAAAGGAGTAAAGGGATGAAACATTAATACAGACATGACGTGATTAACTCCCTGCGTGTGCACAAACAGCCTCATGACTGCGTTTTTTTTTTTTTTTCCCGTCCGCACAAGCGAGCTGGAGGATTCTGCTGTAAGTAATCAGATCTCGATTTGTGTCAGTGATTATTAGTCAAATGCGAGCGTGTGCATTCAGACTGGCCCTTTTTATGAATACGTGTCTATTAGGCGGCAATAAGCGGGGATGTTTTACTCAGAGCGACCAGATGAATGGGGAGGATTGTGGAGATGACAGAGGAGCGGTGGGAGTCGGGGAATGAAGAGAGCAGGGAGGATTATTAAAGAGGAGGAGGAGGAGGAGGAGGAAATAGCATTCTAGATAAACAGATTTTACATTTACGTGCATTATTATAAGCGCTATTTTATGAATAAACTCGTCCGCACGTTCAGATTTTTCCACAAGTTCCCTTCAAAAGCGATGGTGAAGCTGTGGGATTTAATTAAAAAGCAGTTTGGTGAGTTTATTTACTCGGGAGATTCAGCAGGAGGAAAACACGCCGGGGCGTTATCGTCTTCTGGAATGATGTCAATAAAGCTGCGAGG